GTCCTTTTTTACATTGTAAAGCGCTTAGAACAGCGATGTACAAGCACTATATAAATTCCATTATTATTATTATTATTATTATTATTATTATTATTATTAATTTGATAAAAGATCAAAGTGTTTCATCTTAGGTGATCATTTAATTAATTCTCATAACCTCATCTTATGATAATGTATGGGTATGGTTAGGAGAAAATTGCTGTTGGTCACTATTGGGACTTAAAGGGTTAAAGGTACAATGTAGACCACGATGGTGGACAAAAAACTGGCCCCCAGTACATGGACTACTCCTTTGGACTTCCCTAAAGTGGACTATGCTGCCGCAGTTTAGTGATTAGGGTTAGGAAACTGAGTGAATCAAGTTCAGGTCAGTTTTCCAAGTATAATGACCTTAAATAGAACTTGATTCACACAGTTTCCTGACCCTAATCACTAAACGTATGTGGGGTAGTCCTTTTTAGGGTAGTCCAGAGGGGTAGCCCATGGGGGTAGTCCATCAACTTGGGGGTCAGCATTTTGTCCACCTCCTGTAGATCACATCACTGGCGTCTACATGTGATAAATGGATCAATTTAGGTTTCAGAGAAACTGCCTACCTACCCCTCCCCTAAGCCATCATTTTGCTCTAAGTGAGAAGTAAGGGGCCAAAGTAAGTGTCAACGTTAACTTAGGGGAGGGGTAGATGGGCAGTTTCTCAGAAACCTAAATTAATCCTGATTAACCCATCCGCCCCTGAACCGCCCGTAACCGCCCGTGCGGATCCAGGTCCTTTCTACCCTTTGTGACGTCATCAGTTTTAACGGTCAAGGACAACTTTCTTCGCTAACGTGTGCAGAGTGAAGAGATCTTTCAAACCATACCAGAATGAGCAAAATTCAGTCAAGGAGACCGGAGAAAGAAGCAAAAAACCACGTCACATGGACCTGAAAATCTCCATGAAAATCTTGTTCCATTGCCCACCTACCTTTCCTTTCACCTAATCCTAAGATCCTAAAAGCTTTCCTAAAAACTATTCCCACCAAAATGAAGCCTACTAAATGCCCAGCAAGAGAAAAAAAATGAGGCAAGAAAAGCGAAAAAAGAAGGGAGGAGAGAAAGCGAAAAGTAAAAGTCAAGACTGCTGTGTCACTTTTAAACCCAAAAACTCGAAAACTCGAAATTTTGCTTTCTGTACATGCCCGAACTTCGTAAGCTGATATTTTGCATCTGGATCAGAAGGCCGCGAAGTGTACGACCTGTAAACCGGTTTGTGGTAAGTTTTAGCTCTTTATAGCACGACAGTGACCAGAAAACCACTCGACTAGCTTCAAAACGCGTTTTTCGGCAAAATCTCCAGGAGCGAATGGGTTAATATGATGCTTATTGGGACTTGTTTGGAACTGGAAAGATATACACCAGATCTTTCAAATTCACTTTTATCACAAACCTCTGTTATGAAAAGAGGAAAATAAATAAAGATTATGTAACACTTTGATAAACAAGTTTTGAATAAGTGTGCACCAACAAGCCCGAAAATTTATATTAGGAAATTATCAGTTAAGCGCTAAATTAATGTTTAATACTACATTGTCAGTCGGTTAGTCCAAAAAATTAATATTATTTTGAAATTCAATAAGAGGCAAGGCTCTCTTTCAAGTTAACAGAATTTCTTGTTGAGCATCCTTAGATCTTTGTTTTGCAACAGAATTTCTGGAGAGTCCTTTCAATACATTTTTTCACAAAGAAGTAGTTTCTGCCAATTCTGTACTCAAGAAGCAACATCCCATCAGGATTCTTTCTAGTTTTAATGCTTATTCATGTGTTCCAGGGAAGCTTACTTAGCAAAAACGAAATTCATTCATGCAGCTGTGTTGCACAAAAGTAAAAAGACAAACACAATGGAAGCAAACTTACATGTCAAAATCCAAGTGAGATATTCCATATGCTATCAA